AAAAGAAATCAACATAGATGGAGGTCATCTTACTGAAAGGTACATTCCTTACGTCTTCATATACAGAACAGTGAAACAGGAAGTGAACCTCATTCTAAACTTCACCAATTACACAACAAACAAATAACGTGTCCATGTGGTGTTTCAAAAGATGCTAAAAGACATGAGAGAAATTAGCAGTCAATGCAAAGGCTGATCATTTCCGCCTTGGAACTGCAGTGCACCAATGACAGTCTTAAAAACATGGATTCAGACAGCCTGGGTTTCATACGTCACAAAGCTAAGGAACCAATCACATCCATGGGGTGGGGACTTCCATATCGTTAGCATAGCGCTACGACAAAATGAGAGGTAACATATCGTGAATAAGGTTTATCGAACATCAGCGACACATTATGAGCTGATAGAGAAGTCAAACTGAAGGCTCATGTTATCGATTACTGCTAAGTTTCTAACGTAGACAAAGATGAGCAGAATCGAAGGTGAGCAGGTAGGCTAGAAGGAGCTGAGGGGCGAGTAGAGAACAGCAGGGACTAACTCGCATATTCATAATTCTACACATGCTAAATGAGGCAAAGGTGTAGAGTTACAGCTAAACCCAGTTCAGGCCAATGATTAGCAACGGGACGAAACCGTTTTAGAACCTTGCAGAGAGAAGTTGCAGCGGTGTGAACCAGCCAGTCTGAGCTCGCCTCAAGCCAGCTGATGGTGTCACCTACAACTCATCACCTGTATACACACTACATCACATTTTTTTACCTTCAACAACAAATGCACGTGGTTACATTTAGCCAACAAAGGCATGTAGTTTGGGTTTAGGAAACAAGAACATGGTTTGGCTTTACAGTCCGATGGGGATGCAAATACCAGCCTCGTGGGTGAAAGTCAGTGGTTGTTGGACCCATCCACCGACCCTCCCATCTGCCCCACACAGACTTTTCACCCCCTTAACTACCATTGTTGTCTCGCCATGTTTCCTCCAGATGCCACTGGGCACAATTACACAATAACGGCAGCCAGCTGCTTATCATGGCGACATGAATGGATGGCTTTTTTCTTCGGTGTCTGATGCTGGAAGTCACCTCCCAAGCGCCGATATTCAACGACTTGGGACTGAGACTGGGTTGTCTTGAAACCGCTTGATGAAGCAGTCTTACCTCTATGTCTATTCTGCTGCCTTTAATCATAAACATATTGTAGTTTTGAACATTTGCATTTCCATGGTAACTGATCAGACATTATGTGCTGATGAAGATCATGCAATATGATTGAAAGCTCCAGAACAGCCACTAAATGTGTGTGAGTCGCTTTGACAACGATTGAACCCCCCCCCCCCAAAAAAAAAAAACAGAAATCTACATTTCTATTACATCTGGGAACCTGGGAAACTCCATCTGCCGATCAGGCTCATGTGACATGATCCACAACAGCTACTAAATGGACCTTGAGGTGAGAGTATTTGTCGGTATTACTTTAATCACAATATTTGGATAAGTGATGGAGCAGATCTGAGCCGGCGCTGTCTGTTTTTATAACAAATATGCAGTGTAAATATTACAACCCAGTCATGCCTCGAGATGCCAGCAGCTGCTGCTGTTCTGGCTTGTAGATCTGTGTGGAAGCCATTACGCTGTAACCTTGAGCACTCAGGGACAACGCGCATCAAAGTGCAGTTTTGCAGACTTTGATGTTGTAGGCATTTAACTGCCTTCTCGAGCATCTTGCCTTTTCATGGTTACATTCACTGAATGTTTTGAGTGGAGGTCACAGAGGTTTCACTTTCATCACTGCGGACAACGCTCGGCAATGACTCAGAGCAAAATCCACGATGAAAACGAGATCAATTTCTGTACAAAAAGTAGCCTTAATAGTTGGGAACAGAACACAGCCACAAGGTTGTGTTTTCAGTGTGGGTCAAAAAATGCTATTGTCATCCCCATTATCTCTACCTACACTTATGAAACCCACAGTTGAATGCAACAAGTTCATTTTCTGAAAGTTATACAGAGTTTTTAGTTTCAAAGCAGTCTATAAATATGTAGTTAAATGGAAACTGCAGGTTTAGAATTAAAGTTTATTTATACCTCATGAGCCTGCCTCTGTCTGCACATCACTGAAGCTTTTTTATTCCTTGTCTTTTCTGTTCGCCTAGACATTCAATGTCACATTTTTCTTTCCACAGTTGCCCCTAGTTTCGTATCAAAATGCTTGCCCCATCCGCCTTGAATAGAGCCATATCTATCCTGTATTCGGATGACACTAAAACAGGATTTCCCTCGAGTTCCTCTAATCAGTGTCAACACATAGCACGGGCACGCCTGCATCTTTTCTAACAAGCTCTGCCATTGTGAGTCCTTGTTTGCAGGACTAAAATAACATGAAAGAGGACTAATAAAATAGACTCCAATACTCCCGGGCAGGCCTTATATCTTATTACCAGTGGAGTAGCGGGGGTATGCTCAACAATGTCAACAATCACAAGCAATTAGGAGCTCAGAGGCTCAGAGAGAAAAGACTGAGACTGCTTAGCGCTGAACAAACAGTTAACATCTCATTCTGTGAGTGAGAAAGGAAAGACAGAGAGATTAAGAAAACAGCAGAGAGAGAGATGTCCGCTTTCTGTGATTTTAAACCATCAGCAGGACCAACACTGTAGGAAATTCAGAGCAAATAAAGTCTGCCTCCCTTTGTGTGCAGTTATGTCTAACCCAAACTCATTCGGACAAAAAAAGCAGACGATCCCTGCCACATCACACCTCCGCTCCGGGCCAATTTAATTGACAAACTGACACTGATAATTCTCCAGAAAATTGGATGCCAAATATTTTAACTTTCAAGGTCTGACATTTTGACCCATAATTTAGGAAATAGCTCCGCGTGGTGTAACTATTAGCCGTCTTTCTTCTACAACCAGGTCAGGAAAGTCACAGGACAAATGAAGCTGTCTGTCTCGAGCCATTACACCGCAAAAATATACAAATATTTGACCTCTAACTTTTTCCTGCTTGATTATACAAGTTCAGTCAGGAACACTTTAGTCAAAGAAAACTTTATTTCCATTTGCAGTATCATATTTGGCAGTATGGCTCTGTTCTGGGGCCTCTCTGCCTTTCCTCGGGCCTACAAAGAAAGCCTCCTCCACGCACCTACGTGGAAAGCATAAGGCAGGGAAAGCACATCTGTCTGCCCTTCCACATGCAAAGGAGGAAAGCCTGAGACAGAGAGGCAAACCTCCCTGCCCTTCTATGTGCCTACTAGGAAAGCAGCAGCAAAGACCCCACAGGAACAGAACAGAGCAGCATCAATGACAAACAGAAATGACATTGATAAATCAGACACAGCATGAAAAGGAGGAGCTGGGGTGGAGGCAGGTTGCAAAGCAGCTTGCAGAGGAAGCAGCAACAGTAGGAAGGCCAGTGCAGTTTAAATAGGGCGCCCTGAATGAAATTCACCAATTGGTTGCATAGAAAGGAATCATGTGATCAGTCAGCTGCTCCATCAGTCGATTGGGCTGTCTGAGATCAGCTGATGTAGCTGGGATGTGAGCTGAACTTGACATCGTGTCCTGCCTGAACTAACAGTCAATTTTTGCTCTATTATTGTGAGGTCATAGTTAAAAATAAAGAGGGCCTTAAATTAAGTGTCAACCAATCAGTTATACCAGTCCAAACAAAGTAAAAAGTTAGAGTTGGGTAATGATTGCGACTGCAAGTTAAGATCGTCAGTGATATAACAGGGTATGTGGAAAGACGAAAGTGCTTCTTTATTTAAACTCTAGGCACAGTTGCGCAGCAGGAAGGAATATGAGATCAGGTCTGAATGAATTAACAAAGGAATTAACTTGATTACATTTTTCCAATTATGAAGAGTAAATCCCATTGTTGGTACAGATCAATCATGGCAGAGGAGAACGGCTTAAAAAAAACTATCAAATTCTTAATTTAAAAATTCTTAATTCAAAAATCCCTTTAATCAGCTCTAATGAAAATGAACAGTGTGCCTCACTGTTTCAGTTTCTCTCCCCTCACTTTGCCTCAAAGTCCTGAATAGTCACTTGTCATCGAGTGTCCCTCCTTGTTCGTCTCCTCTCCTCCTTCCTGCCATAAGTGTGTCAAATTTCCAAGACAGAATAGGCACAGACAGAAATGAGTAATTAGCAATTAGTTCCAGGTCAAAGGTTGGACCGGGGAATTAGATATCAGTCAGAAATTTGGCAGAAGTTGGGACTGGAGCCGAAAGTTTTAGCAACATGAGTCAGACAGTTTGGCAGGCGCAGGACAATGACGGTCCAAAAGGATGACGGTGTCAGACGATTGAGGCACTTCATGGAACCATGCAAAGTTAATGTTGTGCTGTATGGGCTTCATGCTGCGTTATATGAATTATTATTCAGTTCATAAGTAAGACTTTTATCATAGTTAATCCCAGGACGCAGGAATTTATGACTCTACTTTATTGCAGTCTGTGAATATATATAACAAAATGTCTTCTGGGAAAGATCTCAGGGAACAATCCATATTTTTGCTCATTGGTTATTTTTTTCAGTTTGTATCTCTAACATCAGTTGGAAAGAAAAATATATACTATAATATTTTCATCTACTATGTATTTGATGAAATGAACTGGGTAATCACTGTAGTCATCAGCAGAATACCAATAACATAAGGTATTTGGTTTGTAGCAACACTGAAAAACTAAAATCCTATTCACCCAATATTTTCAGGCTGTTTTCCAGAGTAGTGCCAACTCTGATCAAAGTAAGGTCATGACACAAGTAGATAGTCAAAGAAAAAGAATCAAGTTCTGCAGGAATAAAACTATTTGAGTGTAAGAAATCCATTAAGCAACTGGGAGCTTTGGAGATAATCTGAGTCCAGCGGTGCATCAGGGGGAATCACTCTAAGAGCTCTGAGTGTAAGGTATTTTGGAGTATGTGTATCTGGGTCTGTGCAGCTCAGCGCCACTCTGCTGGAGCGCAGCAGCTCCTATCGGCCACTCACCCAGGGCTGGCTGAAGCTGTAGGTGTGCCTGTGGTCGTCGAGGTCGTCCTCCTGCCTGGCCTGCTGGAACTCGTGCCTCAGCCTTTGTATCCGGTCGTGGTTACTGGGAGCCATCTGACTGCTGGGAGACAGAGTGAAAAACAGGCAGTGAGAAAGCGGAAGGAGTTGTTTTGAATCCAGATAGCACGCTTAGGGGTCATATTTCAGCAAGGCCTGACTCAGAAATAATACCTAACACATTTCTCTAGCTACAGTGTTGTTACTGATGCTTTTTCATATTCAAATAATTCACTTGACCACATTAACACAGCCTCTAAATTGTGTTGAGGACCCCTTGATCTGACAGTTATGATTCCCCCTTGCATACCTGACTGACATCTCCATGTGCTTTCTCTTCCCACCCTTCCTCCTCCCAGCCTTTGCTCCTGAACATCTCTATAACTGAAAGTGTCCCTTGTGCACAGTTGTGAGTGATGCATGTCCCTTTTAGACTGCAGGAGAATGTTGGCCTTTTATGGTACGCAGTCATTAAACACTGTGGAAAACCCTCATTTACATCCCCTTCATTAAAGGGCTTTGAGGAGCCTGTCAATAGGAATCAATAGCCTTCCCTCAGCTTAATCAGGCTCTCCTTTTATCACCAGCTACAGAGGCAGCACATGACAAAATGCATAATTATGGTGAGACAACCAGGCTTGATAATAGGCTTGTATTTATGCATACCACTGGGATGAAAGTGACCAAAGGTTAGGAATTTGTGCTGGGAGGGGTTGGGAGCTCGGGATATAGGGGAGTAGGATAGAAGGAAAGAGATATAAACGTAGGAGGTTTGTTCTCGGGGATGGTGCAGAGTGAAAAAGGGAAAGGTTAATCAAGAGCATGTGTGAGAAGAGGAAGAAACCAAGTCAGGCAGGACCTGTTACCCTGTCATTCTGTGCGTCCTCTTGAGGAGCACTTACAGGTGGCACGCCAGCGGTGGAAGTGATTGCTTATTTGGAACCCGAGGATTCTGGGCGCAATTATGGTGATAATTGCAGATTAGAATGAGCACATCCTTCTGATGATAATGGGCAATGGGACATGCTGCCAATCAAGCTTCATTAAAAGCACAATAAATAGCAGCTCATAAAGGATGAGCGGATCCTGGTGCATGCCCCTGAGTAGCACTTGGCGAGACACGGTTATGGTGTTATTCGTACTGCCTGATCAAAATCAATTGTATTAGTTATAGTCCATTTGATTCCTATAGCTTTATGTGTGTGGGAGCACAGGGAGCATACATTAGGCCTTTTATGTGGATGTGGGCAATTAAGTGGCTCATTGGGGTGTGAGGAGGGTGTGGGGTGATGGTGAAGTCCTTCTATTACTGTTCATTACAAAATCAATGTTCCCTTTATATTGGCATGAGGTTGCTTAAATAGCATATGCAATGTTAAAGAAATTAAATGACTTAATTGTAGTCTATAAACAACAGAGCTACACTGACTGTATGCACACAGAGGCTCTATGTGAAGTTCAGAGTGTACGAGCTGTCTGGACACGTTTCTCAGCATGGACATGGCTGTGCCGCTAATGGTGCTAACTCCATAAACAGTGTCGATAGAGCTTAAGGTGTTAACTACGTGGGAACCGGGGGGGTGCTAGGCTTTGACAATGACGCTGTCCCAGCATCAGCGGTAACTGCTTTGAGTGCAGTGCAAAGTGGTGTCAATAAGCTAGCCAGTGGAATCTGCAACTGTATAAAAAAGATGGACGACATGACAACTCCTCAAAATCCCCCCTGGTGGCTGGCTGCAGTAAAGGTCATAAAGCCTGCTCCCTCCATGTAAGTAGATAGGACATGAAACAAACTAAAACATTGGAGAAGTGGTTCCCAACCGGTCCAGCCACGGGGTCCAGATTTCGCCTTAGTCATTAGTTCAAGGTCCCACAGTTTAATACATTCAGCGTCATACTTGTATTTGGCCATGTCATTGAGCTAGTTTTCTGTCTCTGTCAAGTAGCTAATGATTCATTCAGAATGGGCTTGCAATCTACTTTTGGACAGCGACCCACCAGTTGGGAACCACTGACTTAGAGTCCATGTCAAATAAATTTATAATATATTAATAAATAATAAATTTACAGTTATCTGACACTGTAGAAGGGGTTTGACATCTTGATTCACGGCTGTGTGTGCCAATCTGTGTTTGTGACGGTTGTTTATGTGGGAACTCGACACCGCGGAGATCGTTACTGCGCAGACTCTGGCTCCAAGAGATGTCACCAGCGCAAAAGGGCAGTGACTCTATCCCAGATATTTTGGCTTCATTTTTGCACAGTGTGGTGAGCGGAGATGTGTTGTCCATCTTTATATGTAGTCTATGGCACTAACGTGCATGTGTGATCGAGACGGCTTACCACAACAAACAACAGAGAAGCTTGGATTACAACACACAGAGGTAGTGGGACGTCACCCTCTGCTCAGGATGCTATCACCCCACTACATCTTTACCTAGTAAACAGTGGTTCGGTGCTATATTAATGCTCTGAATGAAAAGGCTGATTAAAGATCGGATTCGCCCAAATCTGCTACCTTTTATCATAAAACCTTTTATTTCTTTTAACTAATGACACATGTATGTGAAAGTATTATCAGCTGTTCCTGTATGAATATCAATGCCACATATGCCATATGCTCATTGAGTCCATCTGTTGAATTTCAAAACACCATTTAACCCAAAGGTTTCCAGATTTCCCCAAAGACGTGTTCTAAGAAAGTGCATGCACCTCACACGGAACATACACTGCACAGCATGCAATTAAAAAGAAAAAGAAGCAAAACACATCTGCAATTCTGAATTAATTGTCCTCACTTCAGATATATGCCTGCTAATGCATATGTTGAAATACAGTACATGCCATCTTCCTTTCTCGAGAGAGAGACTAGAAAAGACCGAACACAGATCTGGGAAGTCCAATGTATGCAATTAGTTTAATCCCTGAGGCTGGTCAAAGAGAAAACCAGGCTGACTCCAAACAAACAGCATCGTAAATTTTTCTCTTTGACCCTCCAGGGAGGGTCAGTGCTAGCATCAGCATCTCAAACATGCACCACTGGGTGAGGGGAACCAGAAGGGGCAGTGGGAGCCAGCTGGGGTTCCAGAAAAAGGGCCACAACCCAGGCGATAAACAAGACTGCTTGAGTCCATATACTCACTAGGACCTATTGCCCTTCTCTCACCCACTAAAGCATCAATCTAAGAAAGGAGGTCGGCCCGTATATTACCAAATTTCTGCACAGTGTGTGACAGATGAAGTGCTGGGGAGTGGAATGGGAGAAGATCAGCGAAGACAAGATCTCCAGCAAATTAAAGACCTAGCAGCAAGGCACTTCAATATATTTTTCAAAGTGCTGCAAATGGAAATTGCATCGCGTATAGGGACTGGGAGTGGGGTAGGATTTAACGAGGGGCGAATTTGTCATGGCAGTTCAAAGGAGGCCTGTGCAATATCTAGATTATCTGCAGGGGCTTCTCCCCTTGGTCCTCCGCCCACCATGGGGGCACCGAGATGATGGGATTCTTGGAAAACACTTCATGGAATTCTCCAGTGTAAATATATTCATATGGTGAGGAAAAAAAAGCTGAGAAAGAGCAGGAATCAAGGCACCACTATCACTGTAACAGCCGGTAGCAGGCCTGTCTCAATATATAAAGAAGATGGATTCAGCCGCCTTCCCTGAGAACTCCCCAAATGCTCGAGCACCTCAATGTGTAATTAGTCAGCATGATCGTTGCTGGCTGCATCAGGTGTCACCGCTTATAAATTCCCCTGTGAATACATCAACGTCTGTAATGGGCCTGAAGAACAAGAGCTGTGAGAAAAGATTGGGGGGGAAGAAACTGGTGGTAATTTACGTCAGCGGACCACCTCAGCAATTAGGATGAATGTGTCATCCCAGCCAGCAATGGATGGCTGTGAGGGAATATGAATGAGTGCTGCTCATCAGTTTGCTATAAGCCATGTGTTTGTGCATAAGGGAAAAAGGTCACAGGTTGTATAAGTGTACTCAGGGGTACAGGCAGGCTGTCTGCATCATGATCATATGAGCTCACGGGGCTCAGTCCCAGAGCTGTTTTTCTCCCCCTGAAAGGCCTCTTTTAAAATGTGTCAGTGGAAAATGGGATGCTGCCTATAAAGTAATTAAAAAACATGCAGATAAAGTATCCATATGCCACAGCCTTTTCACAGCCAGCATCTTCATTCTGTCCTGTATAATGAGATTTGCTCAAAATTCATCTGTGTGTTCGCAGGCTGAAATGTCAGCACTTGGCCTCTCAGGTTGGCTCCCAAATGCATGCGAGCACACACCCCTGCAAACACAGCCTGCAACACGTAGACACAGAGACACACACACACACACACACACACACACACACACACACTCTCCCTCCCTCCGTCTCTCTGCTCCTCACTTTACAGACACTTGTATTCTGTAAAGTCACACCACCACTGTATTTATAGCTTTATTCTGAAAGCTTATTAGGAGAGGTGAACTTGTGAATTCACAGGCTCGCAGAGTCAGGTCAAACAACAAGGATTCAGGTCCATGTGAACAATAACAGACCCCCTGCTGATCTCCTCCTCCTGCTGCTGCTCCTGCTCATCCTCTCTCTTATTAAGAAAGGATTATAAAAAGCAGTTAAGGTAGGAAAATGCCACGACGCAACAAAAAATAAGCCTAAAGCTGTTTGAACATGTGATGGATATAGCTTTGTGAGTGAATCCCACTTCATCGACAACTTATACAGGAACACTTTTGTTTTTAAAAACAAATGGCGTCCAAGTACCATCCCCATCCCACCTGTGTTTTCCAACCTGACCTGTTGACAGGGGTCATGAGCCCTCTAAAGCTGCAGTTGGGGGTATGTGGACGCCTGTCTGTGTAATAGTCATCCTTTGATCCAGGAGGATTTGGCAGATGTCTCACACACCACAAGGCTTAGGCCAAGGATGCAAACTATGGCACAGTCCTCCTGTTTGCTTCTGTTGGTGGTTCAAAGCCGCGCTGAGTCTCGGCATGCCCTATAAACACTGCCACTGGCTAATAAAGGAGTAATCCAATCACAGAGAGTGTAA